CCGCCGCGGGTTCGGATCCTATATAGGGATGGCCGGTTCCCGCTCACTGGCTGAGCGAGGTGCGGGCGCAACACCGAGGGTTGCAATCCCGTTGCCGGTCCTGGTCCGGTACGGGCGCAACACTGAGAGTTGCGATCCGTTGCCGGTCATGAAAAAAGACAAAAAGGGAAAAAAAAAAAAAAAAAAAAAGATCATTTGAGGGCTGAGCCCGTGGCGCACTCGGGAGAGTGTAGTGCTGGGAGTGCAGCAGCACTCCCTGCCGCGGGTTCGGATCCTATATAGGGATGGCCGGTGCGCTCACTGGCTGAGCGCGGTGCAGCCGGTCTCAAAAAGGACAAAAAAAAAAAAAGATCATTTGAATACTAAAATGAAAAGAATACTTTACGTTGTAAATTAAAATTTATTAGAAAATTCTTGTGTGGTATAATGTCACTATTAATATAAAAACAAACCCAGGTCTCGTATCATTAATCTAGTTGCTACAGAAAGCACACTCTTTTTAGGTTTTTATTTAGCACCTGTTAAAATAAGCACCAGTTGGAGTATTAATAAAATTCAGTAGCCAAGAAAATTAGAAACTGTGTTTGTTATACAACAAATGTTTTATATTCCATCATATTTTTGACACTGCTCAGATGTTCTTTCCTTTTAAGGATGCCACTCATTTACTTTTTTTTCTGTAGTCTACATTAAAATATGGTAAAATAACCTTATTTTTTTTCACTTGTAACATAGATAAAAGGACAAATACATACATATACAGTGATAAATGTAATTATATTCTGAATTTTAAAAATAGATAAATGTCTCAAAGGAGGGACTGTCATTCCAGTGTATTTTAGAATTCTTTGAACCCATATTTAGTACTATAGAAATGTGCAGTTTTAGTCACAGCATTTTGCTCAGTGTGTGATTTGGAAAGGGAAATGAGGCTTGCCCTTTTCCAGAAATATGTTAACCTCTTCCTGTAAAGGAAAAATTGTGGATAACTTACAGGAAGAAGAGGAGCCTAGTTTTGATTTATCTTTGAGTAGTAACTAAACAGTGTTTGTATCTGGTATGTACCTGAAATAGTTCTTTCTTACAGTGCATTAGCAACATGAACTTTAATCCACACAATAAAAAAGGGTTTTAGATGATCAAATAAAAAATATGGTTAATATACCATTTTTAAAATAGAAATGTTATGCAAAGCCAACGAAAGGTAATAGGAATGAAATTACTTGTAATACCTTTCAAGGTACCTCTGCTTATTTTTTTTCCTATTAACGTAATCTCTGCCAGTTCGTTCTTTTCCCTATCTTTTTTCTAATGATTGTAGTTCTCCAAATCTGTCTGGACTGTCTTGATGCCTGAATAGAATTTCTACCTATTCAGTGAAACTTTGCTTTAATGGCCCTGAAAATACAAATTCTTTATATTTGAATACTTGCATATCTTTAAAAAATTTCAATCTTCTCCTTGTCTGCACCTCCATCAATATTTCTTCTCATTCTCTGCTTTATTTTTATTCTTAACATTTATCATTAAAAACATTTACTTCCTTATTTTATTTTTTGTCTACTCTTAATAAAATGCAAATTCCACAAGAGGAAGGAGTTTTGTTTGTTCACTGCTCTATTTCCAGTGTCTAAAACAAAGTCTGGCAGATAGTAGACACTCCATAAATATTTATTGAATGAATAACTGCCCTGATTTTCTCAAAACTTTCTCTCCTCTTTCAGTTGTATTGCTAAAATTCTTTCTCTATGCATTTTTTAAAATAGGTTTCTTATCACTTGAGTAACAAATTGAAGTATATTCACTACTTTATATATGTATAAAATCATCCTCGATCTGTCTGTTAATTTGTTCCTCCTACTTTAGTAAAGTCATATTTATCTTGGGGTAATTTATATATATTTTTTCATTTCTTTGATACCTTAATGGTGAATATTTTTAGCTCTAGGTGAGGTCTGGGGAGTCTGTGGATGATATAATAAAACTTTAACAGTAGCAGTCAGCTTTTAAGCCTCTGGTCTCTTTTATGTCTTGTATACTTTAAAACATTACTTGTAAGATTGGAATAGGGAAATAAAAGAAATTTTTACAAAAATATAGTCAGAATCCTCTGAAGAACCCATAGGAGAACCAAATAGAGATTTGAGAATAATTTACTTTGTCAAAATTTGTATAATTTTTAGCTGCCTTATTACCTAACATTAGTACTTTCAGACATAAGTTAATACTTGAAAATAAAGTAAAAAGTACATTTTTCATTAAGTTTAATATTTAATAACCTTCATCATTTAAAAAACTCTATACTTTTGTTTCATTTTCTACACTCTCCAACAGAAGATGCATGTACAGTAAGTGACAGAGCTAAAATTTAAGCCTGGGCATTCTTACTCCACTCTATCAGTGTACGCTGTACTACACATTTAGATTCTACTATACTAGAGTGCATTTTTAGATGACGTAGTGGTCAGTTTGAATTTAGCAATTTGCATCACTTAAATATAATCAGACTTCATAGTGTGACCATCAAACTGTATTAACACATGAAGTCATTGGTGATACCATATAGTGAAAAGGCGTATGAGATTGCTTTCATTTGTGTGGGAAGTTTAAGTTAACATGAGAGCATGGGGAAACAGAATAGGCAGAAAGTACAGAAGTGGCTGAGAAAGAGGATGAAGGAAAGATTTAGTGGACCACATTGACAATTGCTATCCACTTGGACAGTTTTGTTTATGGTGCTGTCTTAGCACAGAATGTTACGTGGTAAATCAGTAAAAATAATTGCCTTGGAAATATAAGTCGAAGTTTCTAGTCGATCCATCAATTTTGACTCATGTCATTCAAAAGTAAGTGGTATAAGTGAGTTTTACCTTTTATCTGTGATGTCTTTAACTGAGATAAAGCTTTTTTCTAGTAATTCAGGATTTGTTAAAATTTAAAGCTTCTCTTTATGAGGGTGAATTTGAAGGTCTTTTGTTCTGATTTAGCTTATCTCCATGAAGTAAGGTATAACGATAAAATAGTGATTGTTTTTTAAAATACATCTCTTCTTATTTATGATTTTTTTTACATATCTACAATGATAGTCCTCATACATTTACTTCAAGGAAAGGAAACTGAAAATTAGAATAAATTAGAAATTTATCACTTTAAGTCCATTCAGCTGTTACATACATAGCAGTAGCATATTTTCTCATGAAATAACTTGCTTTTAACTGGAAAATTAATTTATTAAATACCCACACTCAGTATCATTCCTTGGAGTAAATGATTTTAGCATTTTTAACCCTTATTCTTAGTACTGTTAATTGTATTTATCTAACATGATGCACATATTGAGTATGTTCTTTAAATGTGTGTATTTTTGATATTAGTTTTTTAAAGAGCTAATAAGAATTTTTTTTTAAACTTTCTAGTATATATCTATAAGGAATTATAGATGAAAGATTAGTTCTAATTAACATCTGGTGTCATGCCACCTACTGACCATGGGCAAGTGCTTTAGTGGATCTAGAATTGCGCACCTTTAAAGAGCAGTACAAGTTAACTTTTTATGGTTATTTTTGATGGTTATTTGCTTCCTCATCATATTATTAAATTAAATAAAGGATCCAGAAAGAGTTGAATACTTTCAGAAACTTATTTCTTTTTTTCTTTTTCTTTTTTTTTTTTTTGTCTTTTGTCTTTTTCCGTGTCCGGCAACGGATCGCAACCCTCAGTGTTGCCCCCATACCGGACCGGGGACTGGCAACGGGATTGCAACCCTCGGTGTTGCTCCCGCGCCTCGCTCAGCCAGTGAGCGGGAACCGGTCTGTATGTGGGATCCGAACCCTCGGGCGGGAGCGCCGCCGTGCTTCCCAAGCGGCGCACCTATCCAGTGCGCCACCGGGCCGGCCCCCAGAAACTTATTTCTCAGTAGTTACATCTGAACATGTAGTCACAGTCAATTTGTAAAGAAACTGTCACAGTTATTTCTATAATCTTGCAAAGTTTCGATAATATCACATGGTACCCATGAATCCTGTAGTCTAATTCATCCCAGACCCTTTGTAGCATATCATCAGTGTCAGTGGTTGTAATGGCAGACATGATGTATTCAAGGAATAGTTGGTATAAACAGAAGGCGCATAAAATGAGTAACTTGAAAGCATCAATTCCTTCTGAATCATTTGCTGTTTCTTAATCATATACCATCAGAATGTACATATATTCTTGTCACTTAATGTTTGGCAGAGATCAAAGGAAGTTAAACATCTATTGTAGATAGAGGAGAGAAATAATGATTTACATAGAAATAAGTCACTTTCATGAATGATTATAAGACAGGAATTAAAAAAAAACAATTAGCTTTCTTAATTTTAATATCAGTTGACATTTTTAGTTCCCTCAAAGAGAAATAACAAAAGGAACAAAAAGAGTGCACCTCCTTGGTTTTTTTACTGAAGAGTGTTGTTCAATTTTCTAGTACTTAAAACCTCAGCTTTCCAAATAATAAATACTAGACCAGTTCAACTTGGATACTTTTATTTTGTGGACATTTGATAATAATTAGCTTAAGTCTGTCTGGTGTTATAATTTTAGTTATTTAATTTATTTAAAGTTACAAAAGATTTAAGACCTTATGTATCTTTTTCACATGTGTTTGTTTTTTTAATTGCTGTATAACATACTGACAGCAGAGTGTACAAATCATAAGGTATACTTTTATAAATCATTACTAGTCAGCATTACCCCTATAACAACTATTGGTATGTTTTTCCAGGACACTTTACAGCAATTGATCATGATGTCATTGCCAAATGTCTTAATCATTGGCAAAAATCCCTTTTCTGGTAAGTATTAAAACTAACAATGTGATAAAAATGTCTTGTCTTTGAATAATTTTAACAAGAGCTTGCTTATTTACATTAACTCACTAGGTTTTTCACAATTCTATAGGAGATGTCGAAGGTGATGTTTCATTTTATAGAGAGCAAACAAGCTTAGAGTATTTATATGTTGTAGGTGAGACCGAACATACACTTTACATTAAATTGAGTCCAGTGTTTTTTCTACTATAACAAATTGGTACTTTTCTGTGATGATCTTTAGTGTGTCATTATAAACAAATATAGAAGATGATATATTTGGGCCGAGCCTGCGGCGCACTCAGGAAGGTGTGGCCCTGGGAGCACAGTAGCGCTCGCGCTGCGGGTTTGGATCCTATATAGGGATGACTAGTGCGCTCACGCGCTCACTGGCTGAGCGCTGTGCGGCCGGTCTCAAAAAGGACAAAAAAAAAAAAAGATATACTTATAAGTTAAATTAACATAACCTTAGAAAATAAATGATTTTAAAATAATTTTTGGATTTCTATTCATATATCTCCTATCTACCATTGCCAAAGTTGTTTGAATCCAATGTTTTACAAATTGAAATGTTTTAATTTCCATATACAAGTTCTGAATGGAAAAATGAGAAGCAGTTACTCAGATCATTTAAATTATTTTCTTCAAAATTTCTGCCCTTTACCACATTTTAAATGCGATACATTCAGAGTTTTAATTTTCAGCAATTAGGGAAATTAGCAGCTACCTTACAGGCTACATGTTATCCAAATCAAGTTAGTATATCTTCTCCAATGCTACCCCTCCCTCAGTCAAAACAGCCAAAATAAAAACTAAAATCAAGCAGCTGTTTTTATAGAGGAAATTATCAGTTAGATGAGGTGATTAGGAGTTTAGATAGTCTTTAGAGATACTCTGGGATGTTTGATTACACAAATAAAAAAATTGTTTTGCATGTACGATGGAATTATTTTCAATTCCACATGCATTTAGTAAGTACCTACCAAGTTATAGGGACCAGAAATATAAAGAAATGGTTCATGTTCTGGAGGATCTTGTGTTTTGGTAAGAGACACACAGATTACTGAGACATCATGTAATAGTGTGGAATAGAGATAGCTACAAAATGTTGAGGCATATAAAACATGGAGCAATTAATTATTCTTAAAATTGGTGTATTAGTGAGAATTGGGGACTACTGATGATTGGGACAGGGAAGACTACACAGAGATGTTAGAGCTATGCCTAGGATTATGATTAGTAAGTGGTTTGCTAGGGGGATGAGGAGGTGAGGGGAGAAAGACAGGCAGAAGAAGTAGCTGATGTTAGGGCAGAGGAGTGTGTGTGTGTGTGTGTGTGTATGTATGTATATGTATATGTATGTATATTTGGGGGCAGTAGTGATATGGCTCGGTATAGCTAGAAAGTAGCTTGCTTCATGGACAGTAGAAAGAAATGTGTGAAAAGAAGAGTCGGATTTTATCATAGAAAGGTTGGCCTGAAGGTGAAAATCTGACCCAAAGAAATAATTTTTTTTTCGGCCAGCTCAGTATTTTAAGAAAATCTTAATTGGATGCTGTTAGACTGGGAATATCCTCTCCAGTTCTGTTACTGACTGTTAATTTTTATCCAGCTTGTTATATACATTATTTTACCAGCCTCTCTGTAACAGACGTTTAAAGTTCTGATCCTCATGAACCTACACAGTGGAAAGTCATTTAAATGTTATAGATAGGGGGCTGGCTGGTTAGCTAAGTTGGTTAGAGTGTGGTCCTGATAATACCAAGGTCTAGGGTTTGATCCTGGACCAGCCAGCCGCCAAAAATAAATAAATAAATAAATAAATAAATAAAAGGAAGGAAGGAAGGAAGGAAGGAAGGAAGGAAGGAAGGAAGGAAGGAAGGAGGGAGAAGGGAGGAAGGGAGGAAGGAAATAAAAAAAGGAAGGAAGGAAGGAAGGAAGGAAGGAAGGAAGGAAATAAAAAAAGGAAGGAAGGAAGGGAGGAAGGAAATAAAAAAGGAAGGAAGGAAGGGAGGAAGGGAGGGAGGAAGGGAGGAAGGGAGGGAAGGGAGGGAAGGAAAGGAAGGAAAGGAAGGAAGGAAGGAAGGAAGAAAGAAAGAAAAAGAAAGTTATAGGTAAGTGAATCATAAGATTTGTGTTTTACTACGAAAACACTATTAAAGCTAAGAGGAGCCAGACCTATTAGGAACTATTTTGACTGACTGTGGCATGTCCCTATATCGGCAAAATACAGCTTCTTAATATAGTAGGCTGGTGTAGTATAATCATTTATGGAAAAAGAGAGGATTCATAAGTAGGATACATATTGCACAGCGACTTGAAGCCTGTTTATCTATAATGCAGCCCTTCAAAATTGAGATCTTTGCCCATTTCTTCTGCTGTTTACCACATTGCACACACACACACAGTTGCTTTTTTGAATTCTCTGAATTTGCTTATAGACAATCCTTTGAAGTTATTGTGAATATTACCTCTAGAAGTGATTCTCCCAATAAAGAAAGATACTTGACACAGAGCAAAATGTTGTACTTAGTAATTGTTTTTATTTCAGAACAAGGCACAGAAGAAGTTAAAAAGCTGCTTTTACTTTTACTCGGTTGTGCAGTTCAGGTAAGATAAAATATTTGTTCCTCTTTTCATTTAACAGCCTCCTTATAAGTTTTTTTAGTCTGTAGTTTCTGAAAGACTTAAGGATGGCCCATTGGTTTTCAAAGTCTCTGTTAGAAGATTTAAAGTAACTGTATAACCTCCTATGAGATTATGTTGAAGAAAAACACTTATCTATTATTTTATTTCAAAATTTAGTTATGTCATAGTCATATTTAAAATCTTTGTTTTCCTTATTATGAGGCTTTCTTATGTCCCTAAATTTTTCATGTTTTCTCAGAGGTACCCTTAAAAACCTCTTCCTTATGATTTATGTTTGCATGTGTGTATGTTTTTAGGAGAATGGAAGGGGGTAAAAAGGCAGAATTTATGAAAAATGTTTTAAGACTGTGAGTATTATTATGTTGCCCTTTGATCAGTGATTATAATAATAATACAGGTTGAGTATCCCTTATCCGAAATGTTTGGGACCAGAAGTGCTTTGGATTTGAGGTTTTTTTGGATTTAGGAATATTTGGAGAACACATACTAGTTGAGCCTCCTAATCTGAAAATTCACAATCTGAAATGCTCCAGTGAGTACTTGCTTTGAGTGTTATGTTTCTGCTCAAAAAGTTTTGGATTTTGGAGCATTTCAGATTTTGAATTTTCAGATTAGGGATGCTCAACCTTTAACAGCTATGATGATTTACTGAATGTCTACTTTATGTCAGATATTATACCTTGCATAGGTTTTCTCATAATATCTTTTCTCAACTAAGGAGATTGGTATTTAAGTAGGGTGATCTGTAACTTATCCAAATTAGAACACTTGTGAAAGTCAAAGTAGGTGCTGTTAATAATTACAGTGGAAGTTCATGTTTATTCCAGCCAAACCAAGATGGTCACTCTAGATTTAGGTCAGATTGCTAGTAGGCCAAAGAACTGAAATTCAACTCTGGTCTGACTTCAAAAGCTATTATACTGTGTTAATTTTTCATTTAAGCAGCCATTTTTTGGATGAGTGATTACAGTGTTCCTTTAAACTATCTCAGTTCTTTGTGGAATAAGGTTATTTATAAACAAATAAATAATGTGACCACTAGTAATTTTTTACATACATATATCAGAAATTATATATCCCGGAGAGTATTGGCTTTTAGAGCTGACTGCTTGGGAGCTATATTCTTTATACAGTGTATGTTATTAAAAGTCTCATGCTGTGTAATGTTTACTTCTCAATTGATTCAATATTAAGTTAAAAACAAACAAAGAAACTAACCAAACAAACAAAACAGCTCCATAAATATTAAGTTAAATATGGTATTTGTAGTTGTTGCTCTTCTAATTTGGTCATCAGAACTTGAGTTAGAAACACAACCCTTAATTATTTAACACATTTTATGTACTGTATTTGCTTTTAAAAATACCCTCTGTCCGTGAATGCTACATAAATTGAAATAACATGGTGACAGCATAAATTTGGTTGTTATGGCTGGTTACTAAAATTGACAGTGGGAATGGAGCAGAAACAAGGACCTTTTTTATGAACAGTCTGGGGAAAACCCTTAAAATATTAAAGAAACCATCATTATTACCATCTGTGAGAGCAACGAAAAAGACTATAAAATCTGAGGCACTTCCTCCACCTTCTGTATCTCACATGACAGTATTCCAGATGCTAGGGGGAAAAAAAGGCATGAAATAATGATGCTTTTCAAACAAACTAAAGCTTATGATAGGTTAACCAACCCAAGCTCTTCTAGTTTTGCCAGTGGGTGTTTCCTAAAGAAATTTACCAAGAAGTTTGTATATTTGAGTGACTATTGATACTCATGTTTTGAAATAACTGCTATCATTTTACTTCACTACTGAAGTAAAGCAGATCTATATATTGGGCACATTTTTGTTAAAACAACTTAATGAAGCATTGCTCAGAAATCAACTATCTTAACATCAGATATATAAATTCCTACTTATTGATGCACAGTACTAAATGCTACATAGAGCAATGTAAAGTATAAAGAAACCTGGCCTTATAAGGAACCTACCTTATAAAATAGTTTATATTAATGTTGGCATGTAATTAAAACAAGAAGGTTTTCTAGTGATTAAGTATTCTTAATTTTTTCCTATAAATATATTAGCTGGTTATGTTTACCTGTACTTTAGACTCACATAATCTGTAAATGGTTTGTAAGGTAAATATTATTTCAGATGGTCACTGGAAAATGGAGGGAAAATATTTGGGTGGACTAAGGTTAAAGAGAAGGCACAGAATGAGAAAATTGTATAAAAGAATATATAGAAATGCATGGGTTGTGACATTGTAAGTAAGCTGGAAAATAAGGGTGATTTTGAGATGTTTAGAGAGAACAGGGCAGTGTGGGGGTAAGTTTTAAGGGTAAGGGGAGGAATTTATTAATTTTATCATTTTTTTTAACTTAAAGAGATATTTCAAAGAGCCAGTAGACAAAATGTATTATTAATGTGAGAGAGTGACTAGGGAAGTGTGGCTAGAGCCAGTGAAGAGGAATCGGTAGTACTATGTTTGGAAGATGTCCAGGACCCAAAGTAGTAAATTTATTTGAGAATTAAGAAAGAGTAAATGCAAGCAAATTAATTTTTTTCACATTAAAAAATGAAAGAGCGTAGGTTTTATCAACTGTAGAAAACAAACTGAAGACTCAAGGAGACCATCGTCCTAACCTGTGTCAACATCATTCAAAGTATTTATAGAAATGAGGAAATGGAATGGTTGTCAGACAGGTCTTTGAAGTGATATGAGCTTATCAAGAAACTTGGAAAGCAGTCTTTGTAGATACTTGATGTCTTTGTATTTACAGCAGGTTTATTTTACTTGAAAGCCCTTGAGACTTGCATCTATGGTAGTGCCAGAATGGCAGATTTACCAAGAAAGGAGGAGATCAAATATTGAAAACTATTGGTTCATTCTGTATTTTAAAAATGGTAGTGACCTGATTTTTGTTTTTATTTTTTAATCATTATGTTATACCAGATGCTGTAGTAAAGGGCAGGGACAAGGGTTTTAGAGGAAAGATATGAAGTTCAAGGAGTTTAAATTTGAGAGGCAGGCAGACCAGACAATAACAGCATGTGGTGATAGTTAACATAATGCAAGATACATTGGTGCACAAAAGAAGTATTTTCTTAAATCTGCTTGTAGTATCAGGGAAGGGATCTGAGACAAAGATGTTGAGAAAATTTGTTCAGGGAGCATCAGGTATGGAATTTAATATTCATAGAGGGGACAATGGCAAGAGATTAGACTGGATAGTTGACATGGATTGGATTATGAAGGATTATAGTTTAGATTTCATCCTATAGGCATTTGGGAGCCACTAGTGCTCAATTGTGTAACATCAAAATCTCCTTTTAGCCTTCAGCTGTGACTGTATGAATTGGAAATCTCTGTTGATACTGAAGAGCCAAAATGTACTTTAGGACAAGAAACTGTTAAGGAAACCAATCAGCAAACAAGTATTGTTGAAACACTTTCTAGAACAAACTCTATATTACAGAAAATTCGTTCATCTAGTAGTTGGAGAGGATAAAATTCTGTTTAGTATAATATTAAAGTAAGTGGCATAAATATATTTTTCCACATCTGGGTTAGTTTTATCTGTTATAATTGTGTTCTGTAGGTAGAAATAGCTAGATAAAGGTTGCTGATATGATATTAAAGTCCAGGAATTCAGTGGGCCATAGGTTTCAAAAGATGTTATATTCATAAAAAGAATTAGAAATAAAAAGCAAGCATTGGGAAATTGAAAAAAGTTTTTTTCTTTTGAAGAAAAAATTTATGATTCTTAGGAATCATAATCATAATATGATCATAATTCTTAGAAGGAAGCAGCATTCAAAAACAATTAAGTTGACCACTATTCAAAGATCTTACCTAACAGAATAAGTTAAGAATTTTTTATCCTGATTTTACCTACATAAAAGCCGCAGGAATAATTTTAAATATGAAGAAAACTGTCCCAGGCCAGGGCTTGGGTATTTTTATTATTGGCTGACTAATTCAGTCAGGTTCCTTCAGAGTCTTTTCCAATGAATGACACAAGTCTCCTGAACCAGTCCTGAGCATAAACTCAGAATTTTCACAGATGTATGGCTCTTCATCTTAGCCTTGAAATAGTTGAGGACTCCCAGGTGAAATCATTCTACACAGAAGGACAAATTTTTGTAGTGTTGGTTGTTTAGAAATTTCTTTGTTCTAAGACCATGTAAAATTCACCCCTTTTCAGAACTTAGATTTTGTACTGGCTATTTAGTATACATAAATATTACTTATTTTGAACTCTGACTAGGTTGGGTAGTGCTGAAAGTAACTGAGTGTCAAGTGTGGTTGTAACTAAAATTTTGACCTTTAGGTGTACTCTCAGAAGCAGTTCTAACATTAGTATTTGATTCTGAAAACCAGTTTTGAATTTCATCAGTTTGAGGGCTATAATCTATTGTTTACCTGTCAATTATCTGTAAAGCATCTTAAAAGTTAGCATTTTAGAATTTTAATTATTGTATTACTTTTTTCTTTTTTTTTTTTTTTTGACTGGTAAGGGGATTACAACCCTTGGCATGGTGTTGTCTGCACCATGCTCAGCCAGTGAGCGCGCTGGCCATCCCTACATAGGATCCGAACCTGTGGCCTCGATGCTACCAGCACTGCACTCTCCCGAGTGAGCCACGGGGCTGGCCCATAATTATTGTATTACTTTTTTGAGAAATAAAACATTTCTAGCTGAGGCATTTCTTTTTCTGAGAATGTATAAAATAGCAAATGTAGCTCAACTTAAAGAGGGAATTTTTTACTGTTTTAATTTTATTTTTTTTAAATTGTGGTAAAATATACATAATACGAAATTTACCATTTTAACTATTTTTTAAAGTATACAGTTCGTGGTATTCACATTGTTGTGCATTCACATTGTTGTGTAACTATCACCACCATTCACATCGGGAACTTTTCTCATCTTCCAAAACTGAAACTCTGTACCCATTAAACAGTAACTCCCCATTTTGCCCCCAGCCCTTGTCAACCATAATTTTACTTTCTGTCTCTATAAATTTGACTACTCTATGTACCTCATATAGATGAAATCATACTGTATTTCTTCTATGTGACTGGCTTATTTCACTTAGCATAATATCTTCAAGGTTCATCTATGTTGTCAGAATTTCATTTCTTTTAACTGGAAACAGAGGCCTAGGGGAAAAAGGGGGGTGGGGGGAATAAGTATTTTCTTCCTTTTAAAGCCTGAATAATATTCCATCATAGGTATATACCACATTTGTTCATTCATTTATCCATGGATAGACACTTGGATTGCTTCCACTTTTTGGCTGTTGTTAAGTAATGCTTCTGTCAACATGGTGTACAAATATCTGTTTGAATCACTGTTTTCAGTTCTTTTGGGTATCTACTCAGAAATAGAATTGTTGGATCATATGATAATTCTACTTTTAATTTTTTGGGGAATTCTCATACTGTTTTTTATAGAGGCTGCACCATTTTACATTCCAACCGGTAATACACAAGGGTTTCATTTTTTCCACATTCTCACCAACATTTCATTTGTAACTCTGTGTTTTTTTTGTTTTTTTTTTTTGATAATAGTCATCCTTTCAAAAGGGAATTTTAATTTTTCTATTTTTATTTCTTTTACATATGTGGCTTACTTTGGTCTTTTGTAGAACTATGATTTGTTTAGAACTATGACATAATTAGTGTTCTTATTCTTATTTAAAACACTAATGTGTTCCTTGTCTGTTGACAGTCTCTTTTCTGTCCTGCAAGATTCTATGAAATTCATTCTATATTCTTTAGAAAAGCTTAACCTATTTATAAAACATTTTCAGAATTCTTAAGTCTTTTAGAGTTTGGATTAAGATGAGATTTAGTAGAAATGTATTTTAAGGATAAAGGAAGAATTCTTATTGATTTGTATGTATTGAGACTGTGCTAAAGGGTGAGCTCCTAAAGGTAGTATAAGTAAAGAAACTGTGGTTCTGGGGCTTAGAAAAGGGAAATGCATCTGTTTAGTTTAAACTGAAGGCAGAGAAAGATATGGCAGTTGAATTTGGGGGACTTTTGGTGAGTCATAGTCATTACCTTTTATAATAACCCCGCCATTTTATATTCCAAATGGCTTAGAAACTATGCGTAGGTCAACAATTTTGGAAGCAGTAAATAATTGAGATTACTATACTCGAACATTAGTTATTTTATATATGCTACAAATGTACAATTAGAAAGTAATTCTTAATCATTCTCACACAGTCTGTCAAATATTATTTACTAGACAAAAAAAATTCTTGTTTTTAAACCCATGGGTTTTTATCCCATTCCCCCAAAACTCTGACTTGCTAGTCGCAACTAGGAATTATACATTCATGGTAATTTAGTTTTAAACGTGATTATATCATTCTAATAATTTTGTTTTTACAAGATATAGAATTCTACTCTGATGGGAGTATGTTTAGTTAAATTGTATGGCAGTAGAAATACAAGTGTTAAAATTTGATAAACATTTACAGTATAAATCAGAGCCTTGAAAGTTTCTTAATGATCAAAGACCAGTTTTTCTTTTTAAAAATGTATTAACTTCACTAGTAGTTCAGTAATTGGCCCAGGACATGGATCCAAGTTAGACAAGGCAGTGCTGTCTATTTTGTATGCACTTCTCATTTGGTAGCTGCAAGAATACAGTTGTACTAGCAGTTGGATTACAATATAAGAGATGTAGATGGAGGCACTGATTAAGATGCATGTCGAACTGTTACTCAGTACTGACCTGGAAGGAAAAGGATTAGGTTTGCATTTTAATATTTTTAATTTATATAAAGCTTTTTTTAAAAGTTGCACAATAAAGAATTGCTTCCTTTATTCCATTTGGTTATATGTGTATTACTATATATGTTCTTAAACCTTGTCCCTGGTAACTTTATTATGTTAGAAACAAACCAAATATTTATTGTATAAATGTTGAACTGGGGCCACAAAAGTGGGTTTCTTTTATTAAGATTGATAGGATGAAGATGTGAGAATGAATTGTAATGAAGTAAAAATTTCTTAAAAAATTTTTTTCCAGGAAGAAAGGCTGTGTTGTTTGTGACTGAGCATTTTGGCTGTGTTCCGAATTCTGCCACTGACTCACTGTGTTTTTTGGCAACTAACTTACCCTCCCTGAAACAAGTGTTTGATTCTTTACTTCTCTGTTTGTAAAGTTAGCATAATAATATTGTACAGACCTCAGATAGGTTGTGTAATGGTTTCTCACTGTAGAACTTTCCAGCATAAAAATAGTATGGATTTTCAGTGCCTTACTTTTATAAATATATATATATTTAAAAAATCATTATCTCTTATTAGGTAAGTATATCAGACAATTTAAATGAAAACAAAACCTTTACTTTTCAAAACTCTAAGTCTGATGAATTTTTAGTTAAATACAATATTTTAAGGATTATACATACCCTACAGAGTATGAATGATTATTTTATTTATTTTAGTGTCAGAAAAAAGAAGAATTTATTGAAAGAATTCAAGGTTTAAATTTTGATACAAAAGCAGCAGTTGCCGCTCATATTCAAGAGGTAATGACTTCTGTACAATTTTTATGTACTTATGAAGTTTTTGATGTGTTTATTTGTATATCTCCCAATGTCATAGGATAAGCAAGAACAAATCAAGATCAAATATAAATGAACGCTGCTTTTATACTATATTAAACATGGCACAGTGCTAAACTACAAATGTACCGTTGCCTTTATCTATTGGCACATAGGCAGAAAATGTTATTTGAGGAATGAAGTATATGTCTTTGTTAGACAGTACAAAATGTGTAGTATAGTAAATGGAAACAAAGTGGAACATTGCTTGTAATTCAAAACTATAAATGAGGTAAGATGATAAGCTTATTATGATGTCATTCCAGTGATTTTCTTTTGAATGAATGGACTAGCATAATTTTTATTGAAGATATTACTTGAATTATAACATCCGTATAAAACTTAAATCTAGGGCATATTGTGCAGTGTCAAATAATTGAAGTTAAAATAGTTTATTAAGTTTGATTTTAAAAGCTGCTATTTCTTCATCTATCTATTCTTAGGCTTTTAATCTTGTAAAGATTTATTAGAATTAAAGTATGTTAAATTTTACATGTTGATTAGAAAAGGGAAAGGAGAGAATTTTTAAATAGTGAAAATTGGTAATGTTTATAATATTCACTCTTTAGATGACTTTGTCTTCCATAGATCATCTTTTTTTTTAGTTAACATTCATAGTGCCCAGCTATCTTGTCAGTAACATTGCTGTCAACAGTAAGCATATTAATACTTTAAAAGATATAGTTTTACTGGTATATAAATGTTTTTATATACATTTTTTATATATAAATGTCTATATATATATGTTTATTTATGCTAATTTTGTGGTTATATTTCATTTTGAAGAAATAATAAATACTGCAAGTTGCTGAATTTGTCACCATCCTTGAAAGTGTTATTTTTGCTTTTTGTTGTGAAAGTTAAAGCAAAATATCAGAATCATGGAGAGAAGTGGAAAGCAAGAAATAAGTACTTCATTTACATAACTTTATAATTCTTTAAAAAATCTATTGGGAGTCCTTTCTCTTAAGATTCTGTGACAGTGTCATCTTCAGAAACTACGAAGATTTAGCTATTCAAGTATAAAAATACAATAACATATACCCTACAAGATTAGAAACTGTTTGCTTTTGAATATGAATTACAATAAATTTAAAGTCTTATCTGCAGAAAAGTTCAATTGATTTTGTTAAAGCAGTGCTGAAATATATCAATATATTTAACCTTAGAAATGCCTTGAATTAAATATTCTTTTGTTGACTAGAAAATGAATATCAAGTCATATAAAGATTATATTTAGTGAAAGATAACTTTTAGTTGTTAGTGTTTTAATCATTAATTTCAAATGTTCTTCTTTAGACATTATATTGGCTTTTTATATTTTTATTATATGGGTTATATAATATTTGAGCTAATCTTATACTAGAATGAAAGAGATTTTTAAGTATTATCCATTTTTGAGTTATTTTGTCTGCTTTTCTAAAGGTAACCCATAACCAGGAAAATGTGTTTGATCTGCAATGGATGGAAGTGACTGATATGTCTCAGGAGGACATAGAACCACTCTTGAAAAATATGGCATCGCATCTAAAAAGACTTATAGATGAAAGAGATGAGCATTCAGAGGTTTGTAAATTTCTTTCAGTATATTATGAAAGTTTGTTTCCCCCCAAAAATAGTAGCTTCAGAAGTTTTTCAGAATTGATACTCTGTTTCATAGGGACAGGTAAGAAAGTACTGTGTCCTTTCTCTTTTGTGGAACTCAGGAACAAAAAGGTTGTATAAGAACCCCAAATTGCTAGTAAGTAAATTGCAATTAGGTTTTCTTTTGTTTCCTTTTAAGTTAGTCTTATTCTGATTTTGTTCCTGAAGTCATCCCCCCAGCTCTGGCAACAGTATTAGTAGTGTGAAACTGAAAATATGATGTAAGTGGAAAAATCATTACCTTGAAGCATGAGAATTTGCTTAAGGTTAATTTCTTAGTTTTACTGCCACATTTTGAGGTTGGAAAAATAAGTATTAATAAAAGGAGAATAACAGGTGTTCAGAATAAAATATCGCACAAAAGATCTCAAATTTTTCTAGGTAGTATGATGAGGTGTGATTTTAAAAGGAATATTGTTATAAGCTCCTTTAAGGCAGAACTTTGCTTTTTAAAAGGAGTAAAATTGCACTGAATTTTCTGTGTTCACTCTCTGAAAGCAATTTATAATTTTAGAGGAATCTAGACTTTATTGCATACGGTGGTGAGTAATATTTTCTTAGCAGACCAAAGTACTGTGCCATTCAGAAGAATGTATAGCTTTGGTCTGTTGTTGCATTTACATTCGAGAGACGGTTTGGGGCTTATTTATAGAGAATTTGTATGATTGCTCTTGGGGCCAATGAAAGAGTAAATAGAGGAAATTCCTAAAGATTTTTTTTTTCCCTGAAGAAAACTTTCATGTCTCTATAGAGGATATTCAGTTCTGATGGGAATTTTCAATTTTTCTTCAGTCATTAAAAGAGAAGAAAATATACGAAATAAACATTTTAGGGCAATAATTAAATTTTTAAAAAGCAAGGGCAATGGGACCAAAGGAAGGAGAGAGTAAATTGAAAAACATCCCTAGTATGTATCAAACTTATCCTGGGATACCTAGATCATTTCATTTTCAATCTGATTTTTGAACCATATGCTCTGTCTTTTTGTTCATTTGTTTTAGTGCCTTTTTACTGCTTTATCCACTTTCTAGAACATCCCTCTATTTGCATTTCAGGTTATTAAAGATTTTGCAATAATGTTCCTTCAGCTTCTGAGGAATTATTTCTAAAAATCAATGGATTGGTTTCATATGATAAATGAGATCAAACTATATGTCAATCTAAGTGAAGGGATTAATAAGGGGTGAACAAAATACTTGTCATTACATGACTGTCACAAAACTGTAAGGAATATGAAACACTATATAGAGTGATTGAAAAACCTTTTAAAATATATTATTCTGCCTAATTAAGCATTTTTGTTGAATTTGTTTTTCTAGCAAGGAAAAAAAAAGTGGTCATACTCTCTACTGTCTCACGTATTTGAGAAAGAAGTTGCTGGCTGGTTTAAATCCAATTTTCTGGGGAACTTTATTGTTTTTCAGTTTGGGTTACCAGTTGACAAATTAGAAATGGTCATTAAAAATAATTGTGAAAAATATTAGACAAATGTAAAGATAGTATGTACATAAAATAATTCTGTATCATTCAGTTATGTTGAAACAAGTTCTTATTTAGATTTTCCCTGTAACTTTTTTCCTGTTCTGATGGATCTTTTGTAATAATTGTTTCACTTCAGTCTAAAAAGTGTATATTTGGTCACCCTGTTTTTAATTTCTCTTCATTTTTTTATTCTTAATTCTATGGAACAAGTATGTCTTCGATCCTTTCCATTTACTAAAAACCGAGTAGGAGATTTTAATGAATTTAAGATCTCTTTATTGTCACTTTTAATTTTATACCAGACTTTGTGCTATAAGTTTAACACATACTGTCTTATTAAATCTGCACAATAGCCCTATTTTATAGATGAAGATACTTGAGCTCAGAGAAGTTAAGTAACTTACCAGGTCTAACTCTAATGCTTATGTTCCTAACCATCTTAATACCTTTGCCTAAATCCATGATTGTGCTGAGCACATCTCTAATTCTAATTTTTACTTAATAATGAATTCTGTAAATAGAATTTGTAAGTAGAATTGGGAGCAACAAACTGACAAACTTTCAAAAAAAGAACCAAGCATACCAGCCAGCCACCTAAATAAATAAATAAAGATTCTTACAGTCTAATAGGGAAGTTGTTTTAATAAAATAATTAACTGTAATAAAATTTGAAAAGTGATAAGTACCAAAAATGATATATATCTAAATACCATAGGAATTCAAAGAAGGAAGATTTACTTGCAACTGCTAGTTGGAAAGATCAGGGAGGCTTATGAAATGAGAGTTATGTTTTAATGACATTTCCTGTTAGATTATTTTGAAAATGTACCAGAGGACTTGAGTTCAAGAAGCTACCATCATTAGAGACCAGTCCAAAGTCTAAATAATCTTTAATGGAAAATACCTCTGTGTACTCTTAACTCTTAGTACCAGGTTTCTTTCTTCTTTTTAAAAAAAAAATATTTTGTAGTGCTTAGTTCTTTTGTGCTCTGTTCATGGGCATCTGGAAGCTCTTGATATCTCCATTTCACCACCTACTAAGTTCAAATGTATATCTGTTTTCTGTACTTCTTTTGTGTTTTCCATTTTGTAAATTGCTTAGTTGAATATTTTGAGCACCTCTTTTGTGCTCAGTACTGTGCTAGATGAGATGAGAGACTGAGAGGTTCAAAGGAGGTATAAGAAAGATTGCATCTGGTTTATTGAGAAAAAACACATTATTTGTAAATAAAAAATACGAGCTAGCATATAATTAAATGCTAATTTATTTGTGCATGAAACAAACATTAATTAAATACTATCTGCCAGGTATTGTTGTTAGAGTCAGTAGGTGTTAGAAAACAAGATTAAAGATGATTGAGACAGTAAGAAAATATACAAATAAAAGTTGACTTCAAGGAGGTGGAGACTGGGCTACTATGGAGATTAATGACACTGTTGACAGAGACAGGAAAGTTGGGGTTGGCATACTGGGTAGATGGATAGGATAAAGTATTGTCAATGGAGATATAAACTACCCTTCAAAAGGTGGCAAGAAGAGAATGTAACTTTTTTCCTAGATAGGAGAAACTGGTACGGGGATACTTCAAAAAGTTCATAGAAAAATAGAATTGAAAGATAATATGAACATTTATGTGAATTTTTTGATGTAGACCCTTCATATGTCTTTGACCCTTCATATGTTCTTCAAAGACCCTTCATATGTCTTTGAAGAACAAGGAGAAAAAAGCCAATATGGAGAAAGAAATCAAAAATGTTTAAGGAATATGTGTTGAGAGCAAAAAAATGAATAAAAATGGAGGCATTAATCCCAGATTGTATCATTTCTTTGGCAAATTGGAGGAGAGATCATTTGTTGGAAGTGATGACAGCAGTTTGCAGTTGGAGGCTTATGTAGAGAAAAAGGGATATATTTACAACAGTTATAGTGGGGAAATTTGCCAGGAAATCAGGAAGATCTCAAGAAAAGGATTGATGGGTAGTGGAAAGAGTTTAATTGAGGATGGATGGCAAGATCTGTAGTAGGACTGTACAATTTTTTGTTTTTCTTAGTGCTCTATCACCTTGGAACAGAAATAGAGAAAACTGAGTAAGTAAGGAAAATAACATAGTGTTTGAGTAAGACTTGAATTTGAATTCTTGTAATACCTATCATTGGTTGTGTGACTTTGGTTACATTATTTAATCTATATGAGCCTTAGTTTCCTCATGTCCAAAGTAAACATAGTACCTCTATTGCAGACATAGTTTGAGATCTTGTTGGAAGATCCCTAAGCTAGGAGTTCTGTAAGTGTTAGTTTCCCCAAACAGTGTGCCATCATCAGACAAGTGGCATGGTAGTGTTAAATTAAAAAATAAGAGTGACATTTAAGGGCCTGATTATCGTTCCAGGCTGAGTAGGAGCTCTGGAATAGCTAAGAATAATTTGTTGGACTGGGCAAAAAGGGGGAGAAGAAGAGTGATTAAAGATTCAGGTGTAGGTATGGTGACATGGAAGTAATGATAGTAAAGAAGACATGCCACAAAAGAAAAATTGGTTCCTTTACTAGAGAAGCCTATATATATTGAATAGGGAGTGGACGTGGCTTTGCAGAGAGAAAAGGAACTGGGAAGTTACTTTCTGTGGTTTGTCAACATGCATGGATGGAGCTATGAAAGCAATAGCTGCAAACAGGAAGGTAAGACCTTGATATAGGTGCTGAAATATATCTTGAGGACAAAGAAATGAATTCTGGTGGGTGGTTAAAAAAACAAACAAGCAAGTATGATTCAGTGAGGGTGGATAAGACTTAGTAAGAAATAAAGCAAGGATGGTGATCATGGTCCCAAGGTGGTAACCCCGCCCATTTTGTCAGAAGTCAATAAGGACAGTTGAAATTGCTGTAGAAGATAATTTCTGTTTGAAAAGTTTGAAAGAAAAACTGAGAAATTGGTTTAGAATAAAGATAATTTGCCAACAAAGAAAAGGAAAATTAGGGGAATGGAGGAATATGATTGTGTAAGGTACATGTGGGTTAAATAGCCCTTAATGTTCAGATTTAGGAAAAAGAGAAGGCGTTTGTGCCCTATGGAAGGTCTCTGGAGGAAGGAATAAAGGAAGCTTTGAGATGATAAAGTAGAGAGTACATAGGATATGGAGTCAAAGGGCTGGCCTGGAATCTTGGCATTAGCTAGTTGTCTGATCATGGGCATATCATCTCTGTGCCTCAGTTACCTTACCTGAAGAATAAAGAGATTGCGCTTAACCTCTGAGGTCTTGTTAGGTCCCTTTGAGATCCCTGTTTACAATATTAGAATCGTATTGCCCAATTCTGCAATGATGGCAAGGTTGTATTTCTGGGCTTCCAGCAGAGTACTTGTAGCTCGATGTGGCTGTCGTGCTCTTCAAATGTGGCTAGTGTGACTAAGGAACTGAATTTTTAACTCTTTAAATTTTTAATTAAATAGCCACTTGTGCTACTGGCTATTATATTGAACAACACAGTTCTAGGCAAATCACCTTTAGATTGATTTCTTTCCTGTCACAAGTCTTTTTACACCTTTCCGACAGTTGCTATCTAATCTAGTTAATGTAATTGGTTTCTTTTGTTAAAGAACTAGGGAAGGGAAAAAATACTAAGTCTTGTTTTAGAGTTATCTACTAAATAGCTCATGCATGAACTGTTGAATGAAACTTTAAAAAATGAGAGCTAAATATGACAAAGTTAAGATGTTTTTGACCAGTGAATTGTTTTTGTATTATAGTACAGTACTTAGACCCAGTGAATAGTGTTCATGTGTTTAGTTCACTGATATGTAGAATACTAAAAGTGGTTCTGTGTTTATAATTTCTTAGACTATCGTAGAGCTCTCTGAAGAACGGGATGGTCTTCATTTTCTACCCCATGCCTCTTCATCTGCACAGTCACCCTGTGGTTCTCCAGGCATGAAGCGAACAGAAAGTCGACAGCATCTGTCAGTAGAACTAGCAGATGCTAAGGCCAAGATAAGAAGGCTTAGACAAGAACTGTAAGTTGCTGATTTTCAAGGTTCACTGAATTTATATGGTCTCAAAGGTGACCTAAACAATATTATTGGGCTTAGAGAATATAGATCAGTGTGTCTCCATTGCTAGCCTATGTCAAAGTTTTTACTAGTATTTGTCAAAAATAAGGAGACTGGCATACATTTTCCTAATGTTAAATCTTATCAATTTAAATGATGTCCTTTATTCTGGATTTATGTCTTTTCTATCTTTCTAATGTTAAAATGTCCTTTCTTTTATAAAATAGCGTCCCTTCCTGGGCAAATTGGGGCCTCCTTAATTTTTTAATTTTTATATTCTTGAAATCCAAAATACTGGGAACCACTGATGAGACTAATAAGTTTAGCTCTTTTTAAATTCATGTTTTAAAAGATGGAATTATTGGAATGTAGTATTCCAAAAACAATTTTTTGTGTGTGTATTTTTTGCATTGAGTAATTGACATGCCTGAGTCATGTACTTTAGTAAAGGTAAATATTCAGAGCTAATTAATACTAATGAAATTATATTTATTTAACTTTCAAAGATCATTACAGAGAGTTAGTATAAATGTCACATAGGCATTCTTTGGTGAACCACAAGTAAAGATGTGACCAATCACCACTCTGGAGTTTTCTATTTTATGCTTTAAGAACAAAGGATTTTTTTTGTGGGGGCTTTTTTCTTTCTTTCCTTATTTTTTATTATTATTATTGTTTTTATTTTTTGGTTTGTTTTCCTGGAATTTGTGCTTCAGAGTGTAGATTTTAAATTTAAAACCACAATATAGCAATTAAATTTATTTACTGATCATTTAAAGCATTTGAAGAAAGTGATTAAATATGCAAGGTAGAAAAAATATTACAGTCTATTGGAAAATGTGAAAACAAAAAAATACAGCTTTCATTTGTGGATGTCTGCATTATTATGTATCTATTGAAGTGAACACGCCTAGGATATTCTATAAACAGCTGCACCAGGAAAATTAGGGAAGAGATTGCTGTTATTAGCTTGACTGGCAGTTAATGGATAGCCTAAACAGTGAACACTACTTCGTTCCGTATAATTTAGCACAATCTTTTCCAGTCTTTAAATAAAGCATGCAATTAGAACTGCAGTGATGGCTGTGAATTCATTTAACATTTTGTACTATATTAGAGTTTAATTTTTAAATAAAATTTACTTGGCCATGGAGTGTATTAAAGATTAATAAAATTTGGTTGCATATATACTGATTGGAAAATGTAAATGGATATTTTTAATGGATAAACAAATATGCCAGATACAGCAAGTATTCCTGGTAACTAGTATTTCTTCAAATACCATCTAATATCTTTGTTGTCCTTTGAAAATGTGTTCCTTCATGGATTTCTTCTATTAACACTTGTTTTACATCTTTTTATTAGGACAGATCTTTTCTGAAGTGAGTAAACTAGGGAAATCACGGTGGACAAAAATAGACTAGATTGCTGTATACCTAATGGAAACTATACAATAAATAATTGTGATGAGAACATGCAAATTCACTAATTCCATACTCATTTATGGGTGGTACATCATAGTAAAATTGCTTTTGATTTATAAACATACAGAGTAAAAGTATAATTTGTGGTTTGGTTGGAAGAAGAAGGAATTCCTTATGAATCTTAGTTTTATGCAGTAGTTAACAATACCCAAAGACTCCCTTCAGTAATTCTTTCTACTACCATGGATCCCATGTTTCGAAAGAGTTTTTCTCTAATACAGTCATGAGTTGTATAATGACATTTCAGTAAGCAACGGACCACAAAAATTATGATGGCTATACCTTATAGCCTAGATGGGTAGTAGGTGGTACCATCTAGGTTTGTGTAAATACCCTTTTTGATGTTTGCACAACAATGAAATTGCTTAATAATGTATTTCTCAGAACACATCCCCGTTGTTAATATACATATCCCAGAAACACATGACTATACAAACTATTAATTCTTTTTGAAAAAATAATAGCCTTATTGAGATATAATTCATGTTTCAGAAAATTAATCCTTTTCAAGTATACAATTCACTGGTTTTTAATTTACTGATGGAGTTGAGCAACCATTACACATTATCTAATTTCAAGACATTTTCATCACCCCCAAATAAACCTATACCCATACCTATTTGCAGATACTCTCTATCCCCCTTTGCCCTCAGCTCCTGGCAACCACTAATCAATCTACTTTCTGTTTTCATGGATTTCCCTATTCTGGACATTTCATATAAGTTGAATCATAGGATAAGTGGCCTTTTGTGTTTGGTTTCTTTCACTTTGCATCTTGTTTTCAAGGTTCTTCATGTTGTGACATATATTAGTACTTCATTCCTTTTTATGGCTGAATAACATTTCATTATCTGGATATACCACATTGTGTTTATCCATTCATCAGTTAATGGATATTCGGGTTGTTTTTCCTTTTTTAGCTATCACAGCTTCCTTTCTATATTCCTTTATACCCTACAGGTAGTTTTTTTGTTTTGTTTGCCTTGGTATTTGCTATTTAGTTATATCTTACATAAAGTCTATGTATTTGATGCAATTTAGCCTTGTTGCTGTTTATAGCATTTCCGGTGTTTTAGTTTACTTTAATTTGTGCCC